CCATGCAGTGAGATGGAAGGTTGCAGACCTCAACTATTTCTTTGCCCCCTTTCTCAGTGATTACAGCCTTGTGCTGCCTGTTTTCCAGTGTCTGGAAAACACTTTCATATATTTTGTCTACTTTTCTAGTTGTTGATGGAAGGAAGTTAAGTCCTGTCCTTGTTATTCTGGAATGACTAGAAGTCTCTGAAGATGGGAACTTAAAAAAAAAAAAAAAATTGAGATTAAAACTGACATGTAACATTAGTTTTAGGTGTACAAAATGGTGATTTTATATACATGTATACTGCAAAATTATTATCATAATGTTAATATCCATCACCATACAGTTAGAAATCTTTTTTCTTATGATGAGAACTCTTAAGATCTACTCTCAGCAACTTTTAAATATACACAGTTGACCCTTGAACAATGAGGGGGTTAGGGTTGATCCTCTGCAGTCGAAAATTCATGTATAACTTATAGTTGGCCTTCTGTATATGTGGTTCTTTTGCATCTGTGGTGCCACGTTTGTGGATTCAACCTACTGTGGATGGTGTAGCATTGTAGTATTTACTATTAAAAAAATCCCTGTATAAGTAAGTGGACTCGCACAGTTCCAAGTGGTGGTGTACAACACAGTATTGTTAACTATAGTCACTGTGCTGTACATTACATTCCCTGGACTTATTTATAACTGCAAGTTTGTATCTTATGACCACTTTCACTCATTTTGCTCACCCCGTCACCATCTGCCTCTGGCAACAACCAACCTGTTCTCTGTATCCATGAGTGCAATTTATTTGAGATTCCACATATGAGGTCATACAGTATCTGTCTTTCTTCTCTAACTTATTTCACTTGGCATAATGCCCTCAGGATCCATCTGTTTTGTTGCAAATGACAGGATTTCCTTTTTTAAACGGCTGAATAATCTGGTTCTTGTGGGCCATAGATGACACATTTTCCTTATGCATTCATCCATCAATGGACACGTATTTTCCTGTCTTGGCTATTGTAAATAATGCTGCTTTGAACACAGATGCAGATATCTTTTCAAGATAGTGATTTCATTCCCTTCACATAAATACCCAGAAGTGGAATTGCTGGATCATAAGGTAAATTTTAGTTTTAATTTTCTGAGGAATCTCCATACTTTTCCATACCGCTTGCACTAATTTACATTCTTCCCAGCAGTGCACGAGGGTTCCCTTTTCTCCTCCTCTTCACCAGTGCTTGTTGTTTTTTGCCAGTAGCCATTCTAACAGGTGTGAGGTGATGTCTTACTGTGGTTTTGATTTGCATTTCCCTGGTTAATGATGAGTATAGTTTCATGTACCTGTTGGCTGTATTTATGTCTTCTTTGGGAAAATGTCTATTCAGAACTGTTTTTTAGCTATTGTCTGAATTCTTTATATTTGGGATATAAATCTATCAGGTATATAATTTGCAAATATTTTCTCCTCTTCTGTAGGCTGCCTGCTCATTTTATTGATGGCTTTTCCTTTGCTGTGCAGAGCTTTTTAGTTTGGTGTAGTTCCACTTAATTTTACTTTTGTTGCCTTCGCTTTTGGTATCAAATACAAGAAATTCACTGCCAAGACTGATGTCAGGGAGCTTTACACATGTTTTCTTCTAGTTTTATGGCTTCAGGTCTTAGGTTCAAGTCTAATTTAGTCCATTTTGGTTAATTTTTTGTGTGTAGTGTAAGAGAGTGGTCCAGTTTTCCCAGCACCATTTATGGACAAGACTGTCCTTTCCCCATTGTACATTCTTGCCTCCTTTGTCATAAATTAATTGACCATCTATGTGTGGGTTTATTTCTGGGCTCTCTATTCTGTTCCACTGATCTATGTGTCTGTTTTTATGCCAATATTATCATGCTGTTTTGATTACTACAGATTTGTAATATAGTCAGAAAGCAGGAAGCGTGATGTCTTCTTCAGCTTTGTTGTTGCTTTGGCTATTCAAGGTGTTTTGTGGCTCACTTTGGTAAACAGAATGCGGAAAAGCAGAGGAAGAAAGTAGCAGAGAATAAGAGTTGGGACATTCACGAGAGAATACTGTTGACAGTTTTCTTGCACAATGCTCTCTTGAACTAATGCTGCTAAATCCTTTGCTGTATGTTGCAAAGTTCTTATACCTCTTACAAGGTAGAATGCCTTGCCCCAAACCCCAAGCACGTTCTACCTACCTATGTACTACAAAAATAAGATTCTATTATTACTACAGCATATAAAAAAATAGCTGGATGAATTTTCACCAAATTAGGGGGCATTTTTAGAATGGATTGACAAAACAAATGTTGCAAATTCTTATGGAGAATTTGCACTTTCCCTTACTGTGCATTGTTTTATTGATTCCAAATTTTATAACTATGCTACAAATAATTGCTTCTCCAGTTGCGTGAAAACACACACATATATTCCAATATATGTACGTATCTTACATATTTTACTATTAGTGATTCGATTATGACCCACTCAAAACTGATGATAACATACCTTATGACACTGGGATTGATGTCAACCAAGAGAGAAAATACTTTTTTCCCCCTTACCATCAGCTGAAGACAGATCACTATAAACAAACCAAACAATGACCAGTCAGGCATCAAACCCAAAGAAGCTATTCTTTGTCCACTATTTGGGTGTTAAAGTAGTACTCAGTAATACACTGAGACAGGACCAACTGTACGTTACCACACAAAGCCCAGATTTTACGTTTAGTTCTACTAATAGATGAATTAATGGACTTTTTTTCTTCTTCCACATTAACAGGCAAGTAAGCTTATTATCACTGGAGTCTGTGGCCAGGTGGGAGAGCTTACACCAAAGTGGTGTAAGCTCTGGCCGTGTCTCTCCTGTAATTTCCAGTGAAGTCCAAGTACTGCTGTGGGAAGATTAGAACACCTATATCACTATGCAGATGTTAGCCATGTGTATGCAAGTAATTAGACCTGAGAGGAGGAAATGTCAGGCTATGACTTCTGTACTCCTGCCCAGGCGAAAAGAGAGGTGTGTACATGGTGGCTGTCTACGTACAAGAATTGGTTTCAACTGGTGGAATGTGGTATAATCCCTAGGGTTTACACCTCGGTACACTATAAACCCTAGGTATTCCACACCAGTTACCTGGATGAGTATGAGTGAGTACTGAGAGTGATGTAAGTTCTTCCTGTCCTTTGCTATGTTTTCTCATGACTCCTTTGTTAAGAGCTCACAAGGGAAGAGCTCAATATGGGTTGTACTCAGATACAAGCGGGTTCAAGTTTTGAATGATGGATAGGATCTTGACTCTGAAAGGAAAGTCATGAGAAATGAAGGAAACAGCATAACCAAGACAAAAGAGAAACCTGAGATCTGACTTGTTCCTTTCTCAAATTTAATTGGAGGAGACTATGTGCTCATTGGTAGGGAAGGTCATGAAGAGAACACTGGAATAGACTGTGCACAATGGGCTACAAGGATGAAAGTTAGGTCTAATTTAAGAATCAAGGACTACACTGACATGCTGAGGTAATACTAGGAGCACGAAGGCATCAGTCCAATTAGTAGGTCATGGCAGTCAAGCATTTCCTGTAAGAAACTCATCATCTAGGTCAATGTTACTTTTGTATGTTTGAAAGCACAATCTAGTGACGACATTTATAGGATTTAAAAATCCCCCAAAGTATACACCTCCAGCCCTATACTTTTCTTAAGATCTCAGTGACTGTTAATAACATGAAAAAAGTTTAAACCATAATTTACTCCTTACGAAACAGAAATTTCTACAACCATTGTAAGTTTACTATCAACATAACCTGTCTCCTAACCATTATGTTGAACCTCCAAAATAAAAAGGTATTGATCTTGACTCACTGCAATTAAGAAAAATCCTAATTAGGTAACCTTTGGTAATTAAGCTTCTAAATCTGTAAAAGGGGAACAAAGTTCTTCCAGGGCCGTTGTGAGGATTATCCGGAAGAATATATGTAACACAGCACTGATAATGAAGTTAGTGATGCTGGCCATTGTCTTACATAGATCAGCCCTGAGCACTGATTACTTAAAAATGATGAAACCTATTATATAACATGCTTCTACAACTAAAAAATAGGGGGATGGTGTGCAATATAAGGATCTTTTTTAGTACTTTAATAGGTTTATGAAAAGCTATTTTGCTGACGATTACTGCCAACTCTATTATCTCTCAGCAGAGTGAGAGTGAAAGGACGGCTTCACATTGAAAAGGGTTGAACTGGGAATGACCGCAGGATGGGGCTGTAAAAGCCTAATTCTACTAAATGATAAACATTCTCCCTCTGTGACATTTTAGAAATGCCACTTTCTTCATCATATATTCCTAGATTGACAAAGGAAACGTTTTCCTTCAAGTACACAAAGATATGGGATACATTTAATAGGACTTTTTTTTTTTTTTTTTGCAGTACGTGGGCCTCTCTCTCACCATTGTGGCCTCTCCCGTTGCGGAGCACAGGCTCCGGACGCACAGGCTCAGCGGCCACCGGCTCACGGGCCCAGCCGCTCGCTCCGCAGCATGTGGGATCTTCCCGGACCGGGGCACGAACCCGTGTCCCCTGCATCGGCAGGCGGACTCTCAACCACTGCGCCACCAGGGAAGCCCTTAAGAGGACTTTTTATTGAAAGTCTAGTAACTGGTAAGATGTAGAATAGTCTAAAAATGAAACCTGACTCACATGGACAATTTAAGAAATAATTTACATGTAAAGACTACATGTTGTTGTTTAATATTTCCTAGTTGAGTTCTACTTAGATTTTTCACACCAATAATTACCCTTGGTTTTGTACTTAAAAAAAAATTTTTGTAAGGAAAGTTCTAGTCTGGAATTTTGGTCTTGCCCCTGCTATTGCTTTCATCAGTTAAACTAACAAACAACTGATAAAAACTAACTAACTTTACTGAAATGAATGCATTTTCTAATTTCCTTTGCAAGGAACACGGTGCTCTGTCAAAATGCTTATCTAATATCTCCATATTGCTCAGTAGCTCACATTGAGTTTTAAAATGAATTTATTAAAGAATGGTCTTAGGAAGGCCACAATGTTTGATTTGTCATTAAAAAAAAGTTCTGTTTCTTCATGCTGTATAATAAGGTAATGTAACAAGGTACAGAATTATAAGCTTCTTTCTACTGGAATTCTCTGATAGTACGGCACAGTGTAGTCATTTCTGCAATGCTAGAATAAATTTAAAAAAAAAGTCTCTTCTATGCTTCTCTTCAAAAAGCGATGAACAAAAACAGGATGGCATTAAAAAGCCATTTTTTTCCTATTCATTCTGTAGTATTGGAGCCAGTATCTAGGAAACAGAGGAGAGACACAGTAAATTCAAGCAGCAACTTAAATTTAAATATGTTGAGAAAAGCTTTCTTTCAAAAGTAAAACAGGAACTAATGGTGGTGAAGAAGGGGAGACAAGGGTGGAAAGGAAAAGCTGACCACAGTAATATCTTGTGCACGTAAGTGTCTTTTTACCTCTGCCTTAAAAGGAAAGTTAACACTTAGTCTCCACATTTATGTTGAGAAATCAAGTTATACTACATTTGGTTCATACAGCTGCCATACTTTTTTTCAAGTCCTCTACTGTCCACAGATTTAAAACCACAAAGGACTATAACATAGAATTGTTTTAATTCCTGGCGAGAAAAAGGAATTTTCTCTGCTATCTATCAATCAATCACTTTCTCTGCTATCTATCAATCACTTCTCTGCTTCTCTATTTGGAATTGAACTTTTATTTCAGAAAGCTGACTTTTAGAAGAAATGGGCTTATTTCGCAGTAGTACTGCATTTATCTGGTTACTAAGGAATGGTATTAATTATTACTTAAGCTTCTACCTCTAAATGCCACAACTATTTATACTTTGATTGTATTATTTTCTGCTGACACGAGTGCATGGAACACAATCCAAGCTTTTTTTCTTTGAAGAACAATTACTGTACTGTGCTGTAAGTGGGGCAAGTTCCTCAGAAGCCACTGCAGTAGGTAAGGCTGATTTGTATTTTATATACACTGAAGTGTGAAAAAAACAGATAATCTTATATCTTTAAGAAGCAAGAGAAATATACTCTAAGCAAAATACATATGTTTACACGGACTCTTTGATATTATTAAGTTTGCTCAGGGGCCTTCATACTGACTTTTTGGTTCTTAGCTATGTTTCAGATGATTGATTGACACTCTACTAGTCTACATCTGTGCTGTCCAATGTGGTAGCTACTGGCTAACCGTTACATGTGGCTATTTAAAGTTAAGAAAATTAAATAAAAATTAAAACATTAAATTTCTCAGTTGCCCTAATCCATTTCAAGTGCTTAACGGTCAGATGTGGCTATTGGAGAGTACAGACAGGAAACATTTCCACCAGCATGCAAGTTTTATAAACAGTACTGATCCATATCATTAACTCATCTGGATAGCGGTCTAGAAATTATACATTAATGCTCAAATTCTATAGTCTAGTAAAAATTTGAAAACCTAAGGGTTATAAGGGTACTATTAGCCTATATTATAAGAAAGACATGAAAAAAAGTATACATTATCTGACATACAGAAATGTTATCTGTGATCCAGAAACTATAAAATTATAAACATAGATTTTTTTGCTGTTACAGCAAAGAACAAAGTATTTGGCAATTATATAAAAAAGTCATCTTAAAGTTCTTAGAGTGATTATCCCTAGTTAACCTTCCGAAATGAAATGTATGAGCCACTGTAACATTGCTAGTTTCAGAGACTCTGACATCTGGAAGATACGATTTCTTTAAAAAGGGATAAAGGTATCTAATACTAGGCAGCTATCAAAAATCAGGTTTAAGAGAACAGTTAATGACTTATGTGTGAAAAATGATAGATTTGCACATAAGTACGTGCACACGTATATTACTGTAAAGATATGTATAAAGACTAGAAGGTTATACATTAAGTGATATGTTATCTCCAGATGATGTTACAAATGACGTTTTTCTTCTGTGTGGTTTTCTGTCTTTATATCTTTTCAGTGATTGATAGGGCATTTCTTTGAAACCCAAAACATAAAAACAAAAGAAACCTAACGTACAACCTGAGAAACGGAGGGTTCTGCTTTCTACATTTCTCTTTCTCTTGCTTTTCAAAATTCCCCTTCTTGGAAAGTGACAGTATTGTCTATTTAATTTCAGGAATAGCTGCTTTAAACACAAATTGTTCAGCTTACAAAGTAAAAGTAAGTATAATTTATATATTTAAAATTCAATTAGCAAAAAGAAAATAATCATGGAACAGAAAGCAGAGATGTATCGTTTTTGAAACATTTAAGGACCCGAAGAAGTTCCTAGGTCTGCTGTAAAAATATCTGCATGTAACAGATCAGAGGACTAGATATGTACCATTATGACTGGTAAGGCTCTTACGGTTATTTAAAGTCTTTTAAATAATCATTTTTAAAATGTATAGGTATCCAACTAAAACAGAAACCATAGGATAAATTGTTGAAATTCAACACTTCCTTAAAGAAAAAGAAAAGCTTTAGAAACACTTCAAATCTGCAACTGAAATAGGGAAGAAAAGCTTATTAACATGCTTCCCCCCCCCCCCGCCCCCGCACACAAAGTCAACCTGCGGAAGTAGTCTATGTGTCCTATGAAATGTTTAAAGTTAGTAAGAGGACTATGTGAGATCTGGAATCCAGAATCTAGCTGAGAAAGAAGCCTGGTCTCTCTATCTGGGAGTGGATCACTGGCCATTTTCTCCCTTAATTTCAGATGAAAATTTTCTCAAGACTCATGAAAACAAGATTTCAAGTAGCTTTGCTTTCACAGTAATTAGGGCAAACACTTACTTTTACCATCACAGGCTACAATTTTCACTTTATCCACTTTAATAAGTTCTGTCACCTCTCTGAATTCAACATCATTCAATACAAAAGTCCACACATTATCGCAGAATCTGTATGTATTTAGAGAGCCCTTTAAAACAAAACATTTAGACAAACCATGAAAAGTCATGTTTTCCCCCTCACATTTTTCTCCAGACAATTTAAGAAAACCTAGCTACAAGTACATAATTCTCCAAATAGGATGAAAATTAAGGAAAATCTTAAAAAATATTTTAGTTAGCAGACTATTTTCAGCACTGGAAAAGCCTGCAAATTACTTACCTGAAATATTGAATGGAAATTTGAATCTGTATTTCTACTGCCCTCATGTGGCTAAATTATGAAAATGCATTTGAATTTTTTATATAAATACTTAAAAAAAATACTTTTTAAAAGCAACCGATTTTACTGTGTATGTTGATTCTCTGAATTTGTACAAAAGCAGGGAATTCCTAGAAGCATTCATTTTCACCCTGTGACTTAGCTCAGACGAATTACTGTATTAGCCACTAAAATTACAACATTATTGTCCTGTGCAACTCACATTCTTCTAATTAATACATATTTCTCCTAAAAAAATTTTATCTGAACATTAAAAGGAACTTTTTGAAAAGTGTGATGAAGGTGCAAGGGTGGACACCAATGGAATATAATCAAAACCTGAGAGATAGATATATACATGCACAAGTATTTACATATGAAATTTAGTATTCAATGAGACATTTATATGCCTTCAGAAAAAAAAATTCAGCACAAAACTGTTCCCTGCAGTGTTACTTGTAGTATCAAACACTGAGTTCTCATTAATGGCTTAAGTTAGAATGATTACGGGAATGATAATGGCTATGAATGAATGAATGTAATAAATATGAATAATTACTATTTGTTAGACTATACTAGGCACTGAGGATACAACGGTAAGCAATACACCTATGACCCCTGCCATCCAAGAAGCTTAGGTTAGCAGGGGAGATCACTAAAACAAGTAAATACATAGTGTAACAGTGCTAAGAAAGATTGTTACTGGGTACAATGGGAGTAGAGTAGAGGCATCGAAGTAGGACAGGGAAAGCTTGAGTCCCAAAGAATGAAAAAGAGTCAAGGGAAAGGTGGGACAGCAGAAAGGAAGACAAACACTTGGAATGGGATAGTAAGTTCCTGAAAGGAGAATATGACAGGAGGTCCTAAGGTGAAAGAGAGCATGGAGAACCTTGGGAAAGCTTCTCCCTATTGTGAGGGCATTAGGACGGCAACGAAGGATTTCAAGCAGAGGAGTAACATGATGAGATTTGCATTTTGCATTTTTGGTGATAACATGAACAGACTAGAGGGGAGTCTGACTGGAGGAAGGAGAGAAGCTAAGAAGCCGATAGCTTTTAGCTGGCTGAATCAGACAGGTGAAAGTGGCTGGGCGATAACAGAGGCAAGGGGGTCCAGGGAAGTGGAGAGATTTTAAAAGGTAGATCTGTCAACGCTTGATAACCAACTGGATACGGTAGGGTGGGGAACAGAGAAATCTTTGTTATTCCCAAGTTTCTGGCTTGCTTGTGTAACAATGCATTCATAGAAAAAACTGGTTTGGGAGGAAAGTTAAATTTGAGTTTCAGCTACATCTTACCATATCCAGTAAGCAGCTGGAGTGTAGAAGCAAGCATGGGAGCCTATCAATTTTAAAGCCAAGGACTGGATGACATCATCCAAAGAGAATATGTGGAGCCCTAGATAACCCTTAAGGAAAACCAGCAATTAAGTGATACAAAGTAGCCTGAGAGAGGGGCCAGAGAATAGACCAAAAAAGCCAAAATAGTAAGATTTCAAGGGAAGTATGCGTTTCAAAAGAGACTAATCAATAGTATCACTAATTATGCATTAGATTTGGCAATAAATAACTTGGCACAAGAGAAGTTTCAGTGGAGAGGTGGGAGTAATGCATAGAAAATCACTCAGGACATATTAAGTAAAAAGATGCAGAGTTGTAAATGTTAAAAAAAAATTTTTTTTTCTTTTAAATTAGATCTGTTCCTTGACTAGAGTTTGAGCCGTTGGAAGGCTGAACGACCAAATGCCAACCTCAATGTTCATTTCTGGCTTGTGTATAATCAGTGATCCTGTAAGTGTGTAGGTTACTGTCATATCCAGTTGGTGGCAGATGTGTCAATGATTTGAACCAGGCAAGTCACTGCTATTTATGATTAGCATATGAACATTCAACTATGCTGAAATTCTGTTCTTTATGTTAAAAATTTCCTTCTATATGATAGATAACATGTGGCTAAACTGTATCTTTAATGCACCTCTAATAAATACATATATTTTTAACATATATCTACCGAATAACACTTTTTTAAAGTTAATTTACCTTTAGCTAAAGAGATCCAAACTAGAAACCTACAGTAATACAACTAGAAGACCACTCAGGCCTTGTGAACCCTACGACTCTGATAAGCAGTCAAGCAAATTTTCTACGTGGGCAAGTATGTATCAACATGGATCAATTTAGAATGAAAGGATCATGTTCGGAATGACAAACTAGGCACATTTGTAAGTATGGTTGTACAAAAAGGAAACTTTGCCAGCATTATTACTGTTAAAAATTCAAGAATCCACTGATAAAATTTTATAAAGCCACGTTTTACTCCAGCTAATTGTTAGGCATGTGAAAATCATGTGACTTATTTCTATGAATATAAAATACATGCAGATTTTACCCCTTCACTAAAATAAGTCAAACGGGGCCTGTCTTCTTTTGCCCTGTATACCCAATATCCAGAACAATGCCTCGTATTTAATAGGCATTGAATGTTCGTTGAATAAATGATAAATTTTTCTTTTGTGCTTTTCATCACAAACTAAAACCAAAAACCCCGAACAGTGATGTTCTCTTAAATGCAAATTAACATCTATATTCTTTTCATTTGTTGATTTTCATATCCTGTAATCTGAATTTACCATCGAATTGAGAAAGACAGTTTGTTCAGTTTGGGATTACTGTGCAAAGTACAAATGATTCAAATGAGACCAAGCTACCAGAAGAGACCATTATCTGCCAACAGGTCAGGTCTTTATAAGCCATGTTATCTAAGAGTAGGTGGGAGGCAACGTGAAGTTTCTAGAAGTAACTAACTAACTCTGAACCTCCCTGGTCAGAGTTTAAAAAACACAACTGATCCTTAGAGATTACTCTCACTTACCTTTAATCCTGCAGATAATGTTTCAGACATTTGAAATCTCATAACTCTTCAGCGAAGGTAGCCAAACATACATAGGCTGACTTGTGAAAAACAATGGAATAAGAATCTAAAAACAACTCTGTATCTCACATTAAGTGGATGAACTTAGTATACAGATTTAAACATCAAGCAGGATTTAGTTGTTATCAAACAAGTTCTGAAGTTTGATTAAGCCATCTCTCTTTATGATTACTAAATATGTAGGTGTCCTAAAAAGCACCGTTGTAACAACCATGGTGCAGCTTCTAGATTTAAGAAAATATCCTTACCCTGAAATTGACTCTGTTCCTGACCCTCTGTGCCAACGCTGAATTTATAGCCTTATCAAACTGAAGTAGAACTTGAAGGGCAAGCTGGGGGGTAATCTGTTGAGACTGAGAAAAAATAAAGGTCATGAATCTTCTTAGAGAAGAACCTTGAAGAAAAAATAAAACAAAAATACATGAATTACAGGGCTTCCCTGGTGGCGCAGTGGTTGAGAATCTGCCTGCCAATGCAGGGGACACGGGTTCGAGCCCTGGTCTGGGAAGATCCCACATCCCGCAGAGCAACTAAGCCCGTGAGCCACAACTACTGAGCCTGCGCGTCTGGAGCTTCTGCTCCACAACGAGAGGCCCGCGCACCGCGATGAAGAGTGGCCCCCGCTTGCCGCAACTAGAGAAAGCCCTCGCACAGAAACGAAGACCCAACACAGCCAAAAATAAACTTTTTTAAAAAGCCAAAAAAACAAAAAATCATGAATTATCATCTAAAATTTAACTGAGGTTAACCAGAGCCTCTAAACTAGAATCCCTTATTCTTTTTTGCCATAACTGACAACGAAGAAGCAAAGGCTGACAATATTTTCTTGCATTATCTTGACACAAACATAATTTTGAAAAGAAAACATGCAGTGATGTTACAACACCAGGACAAAACTTTGTCTACCACTCCTTCACAGTATCTGGAAAGAAGTGTTCGATAAATTGAAGGAACCAAGTTTCTTTTAAATAAAAAACTTGGGACCAATAATACGTTAAAAAAAAAAAAAGTCTAATCTTATCAAAGCTCAAAATATATGAAAATAAATGGGAATATGTAATATGTTCTTGGATGAGAGGTTTACATAAAAAGGTTAATTTTCCTAAAATTAAAATATAAATTCAAAATTCTAATTTAAATCTCAAGACTTGTATTAACTTATCCAAAGTTATCTTAAAGCTACGTAGACTAAGCCATTCTCATAAGTATGAGAACAAGAATTATTATCGATCCACCAAAATAAAAATGTTGACTTTTAGTCCCTCACCTGTATAAGCTCATCGAGGCTCTCCTGAAGACTGTTTCCCAAAGTGGTATTTCTGTACAACTGATATGCCATGGCTTAGGAGGGAGAAATTCTTTTTCTTATTCAGGCTTGCATTGATATCCTAAAAATTTAATATGAAAGTATTAAAAAAATTATAAATTACATATGTAACACAGTCTACTTCATATTTTCTAATATATACTATGAGCATACTATATAATAACTGAGGAATTGCAAGGAATAGTTAAAAATAGTTTTTCCATTTATTTTTTCTATTATTTCGACATAGGCATTTATACTCCTTTGTACAAAGTATAGATATATATATTAAAATGTACACCTTTACCGTTTCTTTCAAATATCTACCTTTTGACCTAGTCTAGAATTTACCATGTACCATTCTTTTCTACTTACTGTCAAGTCACTGATCCAGACAATCTTCAGCTCACATTTGAATGCCTTCCCCTTCATTTTCCTGTTCTCTTAAAATTCAGTATTTATAGAGTGCCTACCCAGAAGATAATAGCACTGTGATGGGTACCATGGAGAGGAAGATAAATAAAGATTACACTTCTGACCCTAAAAAATTTATACTTTAGAAAAGGTAACAGACACATAAAAAAGTTAAATAGAGAATAAGAACTGTGATAGAGATTATATACAGTTATTATGGAGGCTGCCTGTGGACTGAATAAGTTGGCTCACAAAAGCTTCCTGATTCTTCACGTTAGACTTTAGCCAAGCAAAGCAGGAAAGTCATCTTAGGCTGAAAAAATAAATAGAATGAGTAAAGCCATAGAAGGATGAAATAATACAGTCTGTAGATAGAACTATAAATTGTTCCATATTAAGGTATAGGTATGAATAGGAAGTGGTAGGAGATGAGGCTGAAAAAGATGACATGGATGGATTTGTCAGATGTGCCAGGATTTTATAATGGAGGTAATGGGGAGCCCCTGAAAGCTTTCTAGACAGGAAAGGTCAGACAAATGGGCAGCAATGTAAACAATGTACTCAAGTGCAAGATTAGAAAGAGATGAGGGATGAGGGCTCGAAGAGGGTGCCAGTAGCACATACTCAGCAAATACTGAGCTTTTACCTACATGTCATGTATTAGATACCCGACCTCATGGCACTTTCAGTTTAGAGATGGACAGAAGGAGACAGGTATATTCAGGAGTAAACATCAGGTAAAAACTCAGCAAAAATAACAGTTATCAGTCTTCACATTACACACCTAGTGAGCATTTGACACACCTGATCACGTCTGCCTTCTTGAAGTCTTGTCTTTGGCTTCTGGGACCCCACACTCAGTTTTCTCCTCCCACCTCACTGGATAGTACTGTTTCTTGTTTCCTTCTGTTGGTTGCTCCTCAGCAATCTAACTTCTAACTACTTGAGTGCCCCAAGGCTTCTCATGTCTTCTCTATATGCTTTACTCCCTTAGTTACCTCATCTAGGCTTATGGCTTTAAATATGTTCTATTTATCTGCTGATGATGTGCAAACTTACATTGCCAGTCCTGACCTTTTTTTTTCTTTTTGCAGTATGAGGGCCTCTCACTGTTGTGGCCTCTCCCATTGCGGGGCACAGGCTCCGGACGCGCAGGCCCAGCGGCCATGGCTCACGGGCCCAGCCGCTCCGCGGCATGTGGGATCTTCCCGGACTGGGGGACGAACCCGTGTTCCCTGCATCGGCAGGTGGACTCTCAACCACTGCGCCACCAGGGACGCCCAGTCCTGACCTTTTATATGCCCCTGTTGCCATATATAAAACTGCCTACTTGACACACTGGATGGAAACACAAAGTGGTAGATCAAATTAAATTTGTTACAAACCATATTCTGGATACTCCTCCAAACCTTTTAGGCCCTCGGTTTGTCCACCTCAATGAACAGTAAATCTAGTCTTCCAGTAAGACGGCCCCAAAACCTTATAGTCAAATTCTCTCTCACCCTGCGTGCAATCTGTCAGCCAATCCTTTCAGTTCTTCCTTCTGAATATAACCAGAATCCAACAACTTTGACCATCTCCACTGCTAGCACTAGCTCACCATCAATCTGTCACTTAGATTTATGGTGATAGCCAAGTAAGGCGTTTCCTTCTTTCTACCCTTGTCTATCCCACCCCTGCCCCCAGAGAAGCCATGCTGAGCCTCTTAAAACACAAATAAAATCACATCACTCATCTGTTCGAAACCTCCCAAGGCAGCATCCTATCTCAGAGTAAAAACCAAGGTCCTCCTAATGGTTTACAAGGCCTGCATGATCTGGGCACCCCCGCCTCACTACCTCTCTGAACTTGACTTCTTCCACCTACTCCCTCATTCACTCTGCTTCAGCCATACTAATCCCTTGCTCCAATATGGCAAGATGTTCTTGCTTTAGGGCCTTTGGACTGGCTGTTCTTTCTGTTTCAAATGTACTGCGCAGACACCTGCAGGGTTTACCTCTCATCCGATTCAGATCTCTGCTCAGATGTCACTTCATCAGAAATGACTTGTGACCAACCTGTAAGAAAGAACTACCTCCCTTCCCCTTTACACTGCTTTATTTTCATTTATGTCACGAATCGAAGCTGACATATATATGCTTATTCTATTTCCATCCACTAAAACAGACGTTCCCTCAAGATAGGACTTTTGCTCAGTTATATATTTACCATCTAGAACAATGCCTAGTATGAATTCAATAAGTATTTGTTAGTGAATAAATAACCTGGTGATATGTCAAAATGCTAATATCAAACTGTATTGCACTTAGATACATTTAGAATAGGTTTTCTACTTTACTGAGGAAAGTGAAGCAATGAAAACTTCAACTCTCAAAACTACATCTAACCACCTACCAATATCTACACCCACATACTCTGCCTGTCACTGTAGTCAAACTATCCATGCTGTTACCTAAATACAATCCTTCTAACTGTGGATCTGGTCCTATCCCCCCTGTTACGGACAGGATATTTTTCCAACAATTCAATTATTCCTTCCATCCCTATCCTATTTCCCATCTCTACGGATCCTTCCCATCAGCAAACAAACAGGCAGCACTTCTCCCATCTTAAAAGAAAGTCTCAACTCGCTCCTCTGGCCAGCTACACTCTATTTCTCTATTCGTCTTTGCAGCAAAAACTCCTGAGTTGTCTGTACTCACTGTCTCTCTTTCCTTTTCTCAAATTTTCTCTTCAACTCACTCCTTACACAGTTTTGCCTCAAGCACTCAAATGAAACGGTGAAAGTCACCAGTGGCAATGCTAAAACTAATAATCCTCAATTCTTAGTTCTCACCAGACTTAATCATTTGACATGGCTGATTACTCCCTCCTCTTTGATAAAGGATCTTGGCTTAGCTTCTGGGACAGTATACACTTTTTGGGTTGTTCTCTTAAACGCACTGGTTCATCCTTCTCAATATTGTTTGTTGGTTGAGGCTCTTCTCCCTTAACTCTTAATGTCACAAGACACCTCTTCGGTTCTCTGCTTTCTGTCTACACTTGTTCCTTGGTGATATCGCTTTGTGTCATGGTTTTACACACCACTGCTGATGATTCCCAAATTCATATACTAGAACCGACCTTGCCCTGAACTCTCACTCCTGGATCCAACTGCCTACTCAACATCTCTATGTGTTGTCCTTCCCATCTCCGTTCATATAACTCCATACCTCTATGGGCTTAGGCAAAAACCTTCGAAGTTATTCCCGACCACCCCTCCCTACCCCCAGTCTGGCCATCTTACCTCCACATCCAATCCCTAGCATAACCTGTAAACTCTACCTTCAATATGGATTCAGAATCCAACCATTTCTCACCATGTCCATTGTTATCACCCTGCTATGTGCCACCATCACCTGTCATTGGGATTCCTGAAATAGCTTCCTAACTGCTTTCCCTGCTTCCATGCTTGCCCCCAAGATTCTAATCCCAATTCAGCAGTCAGGTAATCTTTCAAAACACAGGTTAGAACATATCTCTTCTCTGTGCAAACCTCCCATGGTTCCCATTTCATTCAGTCCTTCTAATAATCTGGCTACCCATTATCTCACTGACCTCATTTGCCATCTCCCCCTTGTTCTTGCCCTTCTCCAGACAAACTGGCTTCTCGTTGTTTTTCTTAGAACATGACAGACATGTTCCTGCCTATGTAAGCCTTTGTAAAGGCTGTCCTTTTCACCTGGAATGCTCTTCTCCCAGATATCCTCTTGTTTTTCTTAATTCCTTCAAGTATAGCACATACTTAATGAGGCCTAAACAGACCACCATATTTAAAACCCCAACTCCCACCTCCGCTCTGGAACTGCCCAATCCCCCTCACCCTGCTGTCTCTTTGATGGCACCATCACCTTCTAACATGTTATATAGTTTCCTTAGTTTATGTTTATTTTCTGCATCCTTCAATAGACTGTACAACCTACCAGGACAGGGACTTTTGTCTGTTTTTGTTCGCTGAAGTAAACCAGGCATCTAGAACAAACACTACCTGGGACGTAATAGGAGACAATGAAATATTTGTTCAATAAATAAATGAACACAAAAAAATCAGTTAGTAAAATGTATGTGGGTAGCTGAGGGGGGATAAAAAGGGCAAGAAGGGGTCCCAGTAAGAAGATATAAATTTGACAAAGTGAGAGTACAGAATCTTGTGTCCTGCCCATTTAACAAAAGTCTAAGAGTCACCAGAAAATAGCTGTAAGTTAATATTGAACTATCAGAAAGAGAAATAATCCCATTTACGATTGCATCAAAAAGAACAAGATACTTAGAAATAAATTTAGCCAAACAGAAATAAATTTAGCCAAAGAGATGAAAGACCTGGACATTGAAAACTATAAGACGATGAAAGAAACTGAATATGACACAAATAAACAGAAGGAAATTCCATGCCCGTGGACTGGAAGAATCAATATTATTAAAATATCCATACTACCTAGAGCAATCTACAGATTCAACACAATTCCTATCAAAATTCCAATGGCATTTTTCAAACAAATAGAACAAACAGTCCTAAAATATACATGAAACCACAAAGACGCCAAAATGCCAAAGCAATCTTGAGAAAGAAGGACAAAGCTCGAGGCATCATGTTTGCTGATATCTAATTCTATCACAAAGCTATAGTAA